GAAAGAGTTGAAATGATCATTGGCTGCATGAGAAGGAGCACAGCTGCTAGAAATGGGAAAGCAGTATTGCCCTGAGATTTTGCCTGAATACTCTCCCCAAGTCTGGACCTGATATTGCAGTGAAGTATGCAGAAGTGCTCCTGTACCAGGGAAAACCACCAGGCAGGAGGCTTAACGATGCCTGTTACACACTGTGTCTGGCAATTGGGTAAACTGATCACTCACCAAAAGTTATTTCATAATCCATCCTCTCCTTCTTTTCACTGTGAAAGAAAATGGATGAGGAAGAGGTTTCCAAAGATTTTGAGTGATGGGTGCAGACTTTGCACAAGTCTGCAGATGCTCAGAGAGTTTTGGGAAGTTTTTCATGGCGAAAGGTTTGGGTGCTGCAGGACACCTGCTGAAGCTGGTTCCCTGTAGGCATCCTGCTGGCACCTACCTGAATAGCACGGTGCTTCCCTTGCTAGGCAGGGTGGAGAAGAGAGGCTGTCTTGGCTGCTGAAAGGCTTAACGACCTCTTACACACTGTGTCTGGCAATTGGGTAAACTGATCACTCACCAAAAAGTTATTTCATAATCCATCCTCTCCTTCTTTTCACTGTGAAAGAAAATGGATGAGGAAGAGGTTTCCAAAGATTTTGAGTGATGGGTGCAGACTTTGCACAAGTCTGCAGATGCTCAGAGAGTTTTGGGAAGTTTTTCATGGCGAAAGGTTTGGGTGCTGCAGGACACCTGCTGAAGCTGGTTCCCTGTAGGCATCCTGCTGGCACCTACCTGAATAGCACGGTGCTTCCCTTGCTAGGCAGGGTGGAGAAGAGAGGCTGTCTTGGCTGCTGAAAGGGCCTATGCTTTCTGGCAGATCTGGGGGTGAGAAGGGGGCTGTGCAGCTGCCTGAGGCTGTGTGGCAAAGAGCGCTAACTTACTCCGAGATCCAATTTCTCTTAAACATTCATAGCACCTGATCAAAAGCTTTACAGGGAAGGAGGAAATACGTTCTGTGTTTTGTTCATGAAACACGTTGCCAGAAAGATGACTAACTGAGCTACCTGACAACTTTTAGGAAATGTTAAATGAGTTCATATGCGATTGTGTTTTTGTGAAGTTGCATTTTTAGGGCACAGATGTCTTGCTTCCACCCATGCTGTCAAGCAATGAAAATGTGGATGATCAAAAGGTTATATTAAATAAAAACAAACAAACAAACAAAAAAACACCCCTGTGTTTTTTTAGCCTGTGTGATTTTCCCCCTCCCCGTGTGTTGGTTTCTGATCCTTCAAGGTATAATTGGGTCATACTTTCCAGTTTTCTCAGTACAGTCCCCAAATTGCAAAAATCCTATTGACTTAAAAGGGAATTGGTATTTTCTCTGTAAGCTTTTTTGGAGTGGTGGGGTTTGAGGTTCTCAAGTGATCCACTGATTCCAGACATGGAGCCTAAATGAAGTACTGAATGTCATACAGGTGGGCAGCACTTTTTGTAAGCATACATTTGTGTGTCTGTTTTCTTGCATATGGTTGTTAGCACGTAGATGGGTGTACTGTGTGGCCAGGGTCAACCCACCAATATAGGATAGGTATTGTAGGTTGGTTGTTTGCGGTTTTTTGCAGAAGATGCCTAAATAGTTAGAGTACTCAAATCAGCTATAGGGTCTTCAGAAGTACTCAGTGTCTCTTCAAAAAGGCTATGCAAATCCCATTTTTACCACTTAAAATTAAACTGAGGTGTGGTTAGGATTTGAAGGTGTAAATTAGGTAATCAGTGTGGTAATAGTAAGTTCCCGATTTTCCATGGGTTTGTAATAATAATTGTAAACCATGTTTTGACTTGAGTAAGATCTTAATTTATGCCAGTAGTGAAAATAAGCTTGATGAATTCACTGCCTTACATGCATGAACACAATTTGGTATATTGTTCAGACTCTACTACTGACAGTATCGGGGCTAAAAAAGCTTGGAAGAGAAGTAAATGTGATTGTTTTTAATCTAGGACTCACATGAGATGAATTCACTGTATCTGCTGTATTGCTGTAATTATATACTGTATTAGTATATTGACAGTATACTGCATCTTACTCAAAATTACATGTTATTTTCTTCCATTTTCAAGCCGTTGATTCACCTACAGATTCATTAACTAATGCAACAGATTTCCCCAGAATAACCACAATATCTCTGCTTCCTTTTAGCAAATGCATTACATGGTTACAGGGAACTTTAAAGCTGTGAATGTGGAACTTGCACTGACTTCCGTCAGAGGACCAGACCCAAATCTTTGCAGAGTCAGCCTCTTCTCTACCCAAATGATTAGAGCATTTGATTCCACTTACTGGTGTTGAACATTGTTTGTCATCTGTATCCTACTAATAATACATTTTTTTTGCAATAGATGTTAAAAAAGAAAATGCAGTAAACAGTATTGAAGAAAAAAACCCACAAATGTGTAAATATCACTGGCCTCTGATATCTTCTTTAAAATATTTAGTTGAAAGAAATGTAAACTGTCCTTTTCTGTTTTTTAATGTTTGAGGGAGGCCTGCAGGTTGGCATGCCTGAAGATATTTGTTGCTGTGGTATCCTATTTCTCACTTGACAGTGTTCCCTCAAGCTTTGCATCCTTATTAACTGAGCTGGTCATGCTGTTTGCAGCCTCACTGGTAATGGTGACCCAGACTTTCAGTGACGACTGGGAGGGAAGGACCTTCTCATGGTGCTGGTAGTACCGCGGCGCTCCATAATGCTCTGCACATTTGCAGAGTCTCTCTGCCCAAGCAAACTTCTTTTCACAACTGGAGATTAATCACCTACTGGGCTTGTAGATTAATTTTATTAACAGGCACATACCGGATCGTTAGTTTAGGCTCGTGGCTTGATCTCGCACTTCTCCTATTCTCTTCTGACAAGTGGAAACATTTTATAAATAGCAAATGAAGTGAAAATGGGATTAAAAAATGAAAATAATGCTATGAAGTATGAAAACCATATTTTTGTTTAAATAAGTTAGTAGTTGGAGGAGACATTTTCCCAAATTGCTTTTTCAAGCTTTTTTTCTCTCTAGTTTTTCATTACTTCTTTTTTCCTCTGCATTTTAAAATTCCAGTTATTTATTATGCTTGGTATATAGTTTATTAGATGCTCAGCAGATAGTTTACAACACTAAATTTTAAACTGATAGTACACTCTGCATTTAAATTCCAGTTATTTATTATGCTTGGTATATAGTTTATTAGATGCTCAGCAGATAGTTTACAACACTAAATTTTAAACTGATAGTACAATTGCAGAAATTTTGTTTGTGCTTTAGGATGTAAAACCAGAAAAATAACATTCCTCAGCTGGTCCTGTCAAAGCAGAATATTTGAGGGAATGAATCTTCATGTCTGGCTGTGCAGGCACAGTGCTCATTAATGGGAGCAAAGGCAGAACAAGCCACCTAACAATCCATTAATGGGGCTTTGTAGCCTTTCTGTTTGAGGAAACATCACTAACGACTCATGAGGTCAGAAAACTATGCAGAGAGCCGTGCTCCTCTGGGCTTTCCCAAAAGAAGGCTAGGAGGGCATCCTGAGAGTCTGCTAACTTCCATGTGTTGGGCCCTGTATCTGTTAGTGGTAGCACCTACGGATGATGGACAAATGTTTCTTGAACTCTCAAAAACTGTGGAAATCGGGCCAGTATGTTTTGTCGCTTTGTGACAAAAATGCCAATTGTGAGCAGAAGTGAGAGTCCTTCAAATTCATACAGAAAGAGAGGCAGGAGAGCTGCTGTCTCTTAATATTGTATTTCTAACAGTTCGTTACAAACGTTTCCTGCACATCTGACAATGAATTGTAATGGACTGTAATTATGGCAGGAATATGTGCTGTATTTTGATTTGAAGTCCATTGTGAATTAGTTAAGTGCAAATCTGAATGCTATAACAAAGTGGTGGCTGATTTACGCAACTGGTTTAATTTTCCATTCTGAAATAAGATGAAGCTGAGGTTTTTATTTTAAAGTTTGTAGAGGACTTTTATTTACAAAGTCACTGACTTCTGTAAATTCTACCTTTTGATTTCTTCACAATTGGTCCATTAATGTCAGTGGAAGCTTTGTGTCTTGTTTATGTAGGTCTCTAGACACAAACATCTCCTACCAGTACTGCTGTTATACTCTGTGCTGAAGGAGCTGCTAAGCTTTGCGTTCCTTGATAGAAACCTCAGTGTGACACAGTGTATTACTGCTTTTAAAAACCAGCTTGTGCGTTAGCAGCGCCTTAGTTGGGTGATGCGATGCTTCTTAAAATTTGCTTTTTGCGCAAGGTGAGGTGACATGAGATGCTGCTTTTTGTGCAAGGTGAGAATGTGGAACAGCATCCTCCCAGCTTACGAACCTGAAAATGTTGAGCTTTTAACCAGTGGGGTTTGGCTTTTTAAAATAAATAAATGTCTGGATGGGTTTAAATTGGTGAACTAATTGATACTCTGTGATTGTTCTGGAGTGTTTTCCCCATTTAGTGGTGATGAGATAATATTTTGTTTAAGCAAAACACCATCAGTCCCTCCCATTACCGGTTTTGTTTATTAGGAGTGAGGAAACTCTTGGGGTGGTTTTTTTTTTTTAAGATTTCTATCAGTTTTTCCTTACTTTTAAAGGTGGATAGGCTTCACTAAGCGGCAGTGTTGCCAGAGGTCACAGCTGCTGAAGGAAGAAAATTAACATACAGTATGTTAATTTGTTTTCCCTGTCCTTCAGTCACAATGAGGAGAGTCTAAATATTTCAGTGACTGAGACTTTGGATTCCCGCTCCTTGCTACACAACAACAACAAAAGCTATTTATAGCAATAACAGTTAGCAATGATACAGCAGCCTCAGACAGCTATAGGCAGTGTCTCACCATGACCACAAATGTTAACTGCTTTTGCACTGAATGCCTCTGTGAAAACAAAGAGCACTGAGAAATAAAGATCAAAGCAAAACCAAAAGAAAGATTTTTTTATTGCTATGTTTTACTTTGCTGGCAGACCAGAGCAAAGGTTTTCTGAACATTTAAAAGATGAAAAAGGTGAAGAATCCCAGAAGCGATTTATCTTGAAGCGAGATAACTCTAGTATTGATAAAGAAGACAATCAGGTTGGTTCTCGGTTCGAGAGTTGCTGAAATTTGTTCTGTTTTTGAAGGTGGGCTGACTGATGTTATTGTTGTTCTTTTGTTGTTGCTCTCCTCCTCCTCCCCTGCCCTCCTGCCCCCTCCCCGCCTCCTCTGGCGTACGTACCACTGTGGGTAGCATCGAGCCCCGGCGTGGCCGCTTCAGCCATGGCAGTGTGTGGGTTTGCATGGGTGGTTTGCTTGGTGCAGGACTTGCTGCATGCCCACGGGAGGGGGAATGCCGGTGGCTCCGGGCTGCGTGGAAGGCTGTGTCAGTCGCATTTCTCAATGTCTCGCCTAACTATGGCAGTTGTTCCGCTCCCTACAGCTTTCTCCTTCCGTTGTACCCATTCAGAGTTGGATTTCAGTATGGACTGATGATAAACTGATGTAGCCCAAAAAGGAGAGAGGAAAAAAAAAAAATTAAAAAAAAAAAAAAAATGCCCCAAACAAACATGTGATGGTGAGGCCAGGCTGATTTTTTTTTTAAACCATCCTAAATTAAATTTTGACAAAAATTAATCGGTTTCATCTTTTAGTTCCCTCCCTCCTCCTGTGCCCTCACCACCTTTCACTGTCTGTGTAACATACTTGCTTGTCGTGCATGTACTGTGGCAGGCGTTCCCCCTCTGTGTTGCCTGTGCCATAACACTACCTTACCTTAGGTGAGCCCGATGAGTAGGGGAGCGCCAGGGAAATGTGTGTGTTTTGTGCTGCCTTTAAAAGCGAGTGTTGTGCTGTTTCAATCCAGTGCAAGCTGTGTATGTGGAATATATTAACAAAAAAAACCAAAAAGGGTTCTGACGTGAATTGCTTTTTTGAGAAAATTCTCACAGGTAAGAAGACAGCGTATGCTTTCCTCGCTTAGGTTATATTTGTGGAGGGACCTGCCAGTGAGTCTCTCATTGCCACTCTCCTTCATGTTTTCAGTAAAGGACTGATTTCCTTTCTTTTTTTCCTTGTTTTCCCTTTTTTCCCTTGACTTTCAGTTGTACATAGCAGCCTTGCTAGTTATGCTGCATCCAAGTTGGCTTCGAAAACAAACCCTGAGCATTTTCAGGGTGTGGTGAACATGGGGATCAGCCAAAGGAAAGCAGCATGACCTATCTCACTAGGTGCTGGGGTGCAGGGGGAGAAGGAGCAGTACTCGAAACCCAATTGCCAATGAAGCATTTCTTGCTAGGGGTCCTCTTCTTCTCTCCTCCCTCCCACAGCACAGCCATTTCCTGCACTGCGGTTTACCGAGGGGCACAAATGGCCCTTCTTTTCCCAGCGAAACTGAAGTCGAGGGTTCCTTATGGTGTGGAAACGGTTAAAACTGTCATGCCCGATATTTGGGACTTCTCCTTGTACACATAGACGTTGGTGGGTTTCTTCTAGGGTTTGCAGTTTAGCTCTTGCAGCCTAGTTTCCCTCTTTTCTTCCTCAATTTTGTAGGTAGCGCAGTGCTGCCTGCCCTCCTGCTCCTCGCAGCCGGTAGGAGAGTCGAGAAATCTTAGCAGTCGAGAGCAATGGCATTTAGGCTTGGGGTGAGAACACCCGATTTTAAGACGGTGGGTCCACAAAAGCCGTGCAGAAAGCCTCGTTTTGGCCAATCGCTCTACAAACCCGCGTGCAGTATCTAACTGGAAACCCTCAGGTGCCCAGCCTCGCCAGGCACTTTGTGCAGGAATGACAGCAATCGTTTTCATGCTTCATTTGTTTAAGTGAACATTTATTATTCTCAGCTGACAGTTACTTAACGGCAGTTTTTAACAGCTCAACTTATATAACCCTCCTGGTTTTCTTTCTGCTCAGCAAAACAGAATTCTTCCATTTAGAGATGACAGACGAAGTAAATCAATTGAAGAGAGAGAAGAGGAGTATCAGAGAGTGAGGGAGAGAATATTTGCACAAGATGTGAGTAGTTGTTTTAATTGCCTCTTTAGTGCCATACCTTCGCCGGTAGTCAGTCAGTCTTGCTCCCCTCCGACACGAACACCGCAGCTGGACTTGCCCTGTGGAGCTGGAGGCGACAGGGAAGGGCAATTGGCGCAGAGGGTCCGAGAGGAGCTCGAGAGGTGCGGAGGTTGGCTTCTGGAGAAGGAGGTGAAGAGAGCTGCAGGGAGAAGGGTAGAGGACAGATCAGGCCCAGCATGTTGTCTAGGGAGTGCTTATCCCATTTCTTTGAACGTTCATGTGGTCTAGGTTTCCTTCTCTTTTCCTTCTCTTCTGCCAGCCGAAGAGCAGTGATTTAAATGGACACTCTCAGTAATTTCAAATAGCTGCATTTATTTCATATTTGTTTCGAGCTGGATCAAATTTCGTAAGTGTCCTTCTGCAGAGCCTCCTCATGGCTTTGTTTCTTTGGACCAGTTCTGTAGCATTAAGACACTAAGAACAAAGAAAAGCCAGAGGTTAAACATGGAATTGCACGGGTTTTTTGAAATGACCGATTAAGGAACTGTATTTCTGCCATCAGAAAGAGTTGGTCACATTGTTGATGATTTTATTCTGAAGGGAATAAAATGAAATAGGCATTATAATTCCTGCCTTACTAAAAAATCAGAACTTGCACAACAAGCTACATTGCTAGAGGGAAAACATTTAAATACGAAACATCTGTGAGCAATACCTCCATGTTTCTGAAAAAGGAAGAAAATTATAATTTGCTATAATACTGTAATGACAGGGTCATAAAAGGAAAAAAAGAAAAAAGTCAACATTTTAATGTTTTATCTCACATCTCAGTTGGGAGCTCTGCCACTTAGAGGAATATGGGAATAAACCCAGTTAAAACTATTACTGAAAATCATATTTGGCAGTGTCCTTTTAAATTAAAACTGTTCATATGTTGCAGGGCTAATAGTATTATTTTAGATATCCTGTTATTTTGCTCTGGTTTTGGAGTTGCACACATCCAAGTTATTTTTCTTTAGCAGAATATATTGTATAGTTTTAAGGTGTGCATTGTCTCATTTGTGAAAAGTAATTTTGCTTGTTTATAAGTAGCTTGCCACATCTAAATGTTTTTAGCCTGGCTTTTCCTTTCCTGACTGAGACAATTCCAGTAAAAGCAGAGGCCTTTTGGTTTACATTTTGCTTTCAGCATGTGGATCTGATGTAAATACTGTCACAGTATATATGGTAGAGTTAGAGTTGTTCAAGGGCTGCAAAAGCCTCTTTGCAACCTGTCTCCTATATGAAAGTTGCTGTTTCTGGCTTATCACAAAGGAGCTTGTACAAAACAAAAAATCTTTGGGTTTGGAAGCAGACCTCAAACAAGGCAAAATGTTGCTTAAAAATACCATATGGAAACTTGTTTCCAAAAGAATGCAGTTTCTATCACAAGCAGTAGCTACAAATGTAAGGCTGGGAAACAGAGGTGGCTGGGAAAGTGTGCTGAAACTCGCTCCACAATGAACTGCTGTTTTTATCTCTAGATACTTGTATTTTAAAGACAGGCAAGCGGTGAGCATTTTAATTGCTTGCAGCAGGAGGTTGTTGTGGTCCATTGGGTTAGCATCTCTGACCGAAATAACAGCGTGGTTTGTGGCAGGCATTTTAAATGGATTGGGAGTGAGCATTTTTAAAGATAAGCAACATTAGATATCTCTCCCTCTCTCTCTCATATCCACTCATTTGCTCTCTCTCTCTGCTATTGCAGGTGTTAGTGAGCATCGTAGTGCAGTGAATTTCAGCAAGCTGTATTAATAATATTAACAGGAATATATGTCTCGGCTGAGCTTTTTTGAGTGGAGCACTCCTCACAGATATAAGGTGTTTTTAGGATTATGTCAGTGGTTGTGGTGGTGGATAATGTCATTTTTTTCAGTTTTAGGAAAGAGAGCAATGGCTTCTTACTATAGGTAGCCACTTACTGCATGCAAGACTTTAATGATTGCAGAGGGCTTTAAAACTATAATGAATCCAATTCTCTCCAGGTTTCTCTGAGGTAGGTACCTAAGGCTTGTCATCCTGCAAATTATAGATGTAGAAAGAGAGACAGGGAGGGATTAATCATGTGGTATTTTATTATCTCTATACTATTTACACTGCTGTAGTCAAGCCTTCATCAGTGCCTTGCTTATGAACCTTAGCAAATGGATTATAGATACTTCACTTCTAATTAGAGTATGCATGGAGAGAGCTTGCATAAGAGGTCTCCAAAGGGCAACCATGAAGGTCAAGAGTACTGCCATAACTTGTTGCACCTAGCACCCCTCTTTGAACATGTTTGAGGTACCCAAAACTCTTTGGATAACATGTCAGCCCAAGAGTCAGAACCTTGAACAAAATTTAGGAGGAAAGGCAGTCTGGTTACAGGGGCAAAAATTTCTGTGCATGTTTCAGATGCTGTGAAAAATGTCTTAACCTGGACCCCACATACCAGCCAACAGATAGTTTGCTTGCCCTTCCTTTGATTTTGCAGTACTCTAGTGCGCCAGATATCTTCATTTCCAAGTGGGAAGGTTTTAACAAAATAAATATGTTCATGAATAATGCCATCATTTTGATAGTCCTTATGATGATTAGTCTGATATTAGTCAGTTTAAATTATACTTTCTGGCAAGTTTTCCATCTGCTGTCTTGGCTATCATAAATTTTGACAAGGGGAGCTGGAGGTTTTAATGACTCCTGTCATGTGTAGAGTCATAGCAAGTGGCAGGGATTGAGAAGCATGTTAATGTGATACCTTAATAAAAGGATTGGTGAAGAAATAAATAGTTAATAAGGGTGATCATTCAGCTCACTGAAATAAGAACTACAAAGTGCACCTCAAACTTCTCAGGCTGCTAACAGTAAAACAGCGCTGCATGAGCTGTTATGCTCAAAGCTATTTTCAAGGTTATTTTTTAATTGCAAAGCCTACAACCTTCCTTTTTAAAACATGTTTTTATTGGAAACTTAGTTTGTGAATTTTACAACCAAGTGCACTGGAGCAGAGGACCTGGAGTATCTGAGTCTTGCAAAGAAGTAGTTTCATGTCTGAACTGCTTTAGTTGCTTTTAGCAGGTTGAAAAGTAATTGTCCAAGAAAGACAAAGAACAATCTAAAAGGATAAAAAGAAGTATATGTTGTTCTTTCCCTGTGCGTTAATTCAAATTGTAGATTTAACTGAGAATCCCAAATGCGTGCGTAAATGGTACACTACATTTTGCTTTTAAGCACGCAGAAAATCGATTCTAAAGACTAGCAATCAAATTACGTAGGGGAAATTTCATTCTTCAAGGTTAATGCAATGTATAACCTCATGAGCCAGAATCATGTAAGGGCCATCCATTGTTCATAAATGTATTCCCTGGTAATCATTGTGTATTCATTGAAAAATGTAGATCTTTTATTACTTACACAAATGCTAGGATTGCCCATGGTACACATGGAACTTATTAAAGGAAATACACATGCTTTTTATTTTTTTTTGTTGTTAATTGTAACGGCTATTTTTGACTAAGTAGTGTATTCTGAAGAACCAGATCCTTTAGATAAAATAAATCATGATTCCTGTACCTAAGAAAAGACTGAGGATCTTTATCACTCTCTGATCAGAGAGAGTCACAAAAGAAATATTTGAAAAGGTGGCTTCAGCCTGTCGTATCCTTCTAGTAGGAAAAGATTAGGAAGAAGAGGGTTTAAAATTAATAAAAACAAAACAAAGACATGCCTCATGTTAGCTACCATAAACCCGTAGGTACTAAAACTCCCGTACTGCTGTACAGAGCCTTTGTTTGTGGCTGCAGATCAAGCAATAAGCATCAGTTGGAAGCCTGAGATCTATCACGTCTTGTTAACTGACGTGAAAATGATTACCTGATGGTATCCACTGCAGGATATTGCTGCATGTTAATAGTTATCTATGTTGGCTAATGTAATTAAAAACAAGAGCAGCAACCCCCAGTATACCTAGTGCACTGGCAGAACTGATGCACGTTTTCCAGTTGAGACTTTAAAAGGTTCTCGGAAATTGGAAGAGTGAAATACTCGTTTCATAAATGACAATTAGTCATACGGAGCACCGTAATGGAAATCTTGCATGCGGAGGTCTCCGAGGAGGTGAATTTGTAGGTAATCTTGCATAACTTTCTTCCTTTTGTAGATTTGTTGTCAGTGTCTTTGATAAGTATACAAGAGCCAAGTGTTTTAAGAATGTTTTTGACAAGAGCTGTGCTGTGTACTTAAGCTTTCCTGGTGCTTTAAATTGAGCATTATTGATGCTATAGATTAGGAAAGTAAGTCCTGACCTTGTAGTAGCTAAATTGCTATCCAGAGCTGCTTAGCCATCTGATTTTTTAACAGTAAGAATAACATCATAAAAAAGTGCCTGTCTTCTCTGCCTCTCAGCCTCAAACCTGTACTGAAAAATAGTTTCCAGGGATTGTGTGGCCCTGTGCCAGCATCGTCAGTCAGGAAGACAAATGGAGTTATTACAGACTCTGTCTTTAAGTCTGTAATGCAGTTGATAGTGGTTCCCATCAAGACACTGAAAAGGGAGCAGACCTCTTCCCTTGCTTGATAAAATATAAATCCCAGGTATTTATTCTGTTTTATGACCCAGTCTCTTTAAAAACTTGAAAAAATAAAATTAAGTTTAAAAAAAATATTCCAGACAGGTACATGCCCCTTTGCTTTTGTAACTTTGTGGGGACACAAAGTACACCGTATTCTGGTCTAAGCAAAGGTTTTTACTCGCTTGTTCTGGAAGAGTAGCTATAATGCTGCTTTGGAAATGTGACTGCAGTGAAGTCAATGCACTAATACCTATCATGAACCTCAAAGTGAAGACACAGCCCTGTAGTTGAGGTTGTACAAGCCCACGGGGTGATTTCACTATGCTCATAGGTAGTTAGACTATGCTGAAGTCTGCACAGCCATGTTTGTTAATGAAACCTTGTGAGTAAGGTACATAAAATGAGAGAAGAGGCAGTGTCATAGTTGTACAAAGGATCCAAGTGGTTTTAGGTGGACCAGTTTGTGCCTCCTGGGGTGAAACCCCCTAGGTCTGCTATAGCTGGTGGGAATTTGGTCCTTGGCAATGGAGAACTTGCTTCTGATATCCTGAGGCTTTGTGCTAAAGAGAGATGCACTTACCACTGATGCAGCCCAGAGCCTTGCGTGTTTAGTTGGAGTGCAGGGTGGGAGCTCGCCTGGGAAGCCCACGGAGCTGTCAGATGTTCTCTGATGTGGATGCTGGGTGGGCGAATTACAGCTTTAATGAGAAACCGCTTTGCTTTCTCAGGGCTAAATTCATTCCTTGAGTAAATTGATGGGATGGCACTGGCTGCAGTGCCAAGGGAAAACTTCGCCCATGTATCTGCTGGAGCACTGGGAATGAGCAGGGTGTTGCTTATGGTGTTGGCCAGCGCTCTTTGAGTAGGTCGTTAGCTCACCCTTTTCAAAACAGAAACATCCCAAATCCGTGCATATCCCATGCCATTAAAATTTGACACAGCTAATGATGGCATTGCATTATTCTTTGAGCTGAGTCCCATTGTTACAGAAGTAATGGGCATGATCTCTGGTGCCCTCCTCCCTTTGCCTGCCTCTTGTTTAAATTCAGTGCAAGTACTGACTGTCCTTTTTTCTGTACCTCATGGAGATACAATCCAATGACAGCTACGAGGCACTTTGTGTAGTGAACATGAAATAGGAGGGAAATGAAAAAATCAAAGAGGGAGAATTATTCATGGGAAATTGAGCGCAGCTTCATTTCTCTGCATAAAAATTTAAGTAATGCTAAAAGAATTATACACTTGCCCATAGGATTTATTTCTTCCGAGCCCTTCACCTTTCTTGGCATCTAAGTCCTCCAGCAGAGAACGTTTTTGCAATAGGCTATTGTTGTTGTTAATATTATTATTAAGATTATTATCATCATTTTATATCTCAATGTGGGTATGACTGTTTCCTCTCCAACCGTAAAATGTGAAATCACGTAGTATTTCTCAGTACTGCAGTATCTTCTCTCCCTTTGAAGAACTTTGTCAATTCTGCATGCTTTCCTTCTGTTTGTCCTTCCTACCTGCAGCTCTGTGCTATTCTGCAATCTTACTTTGAGGTGGTAGGGCAGACCAGTGGCACCTTGTATTACGTAGGAAAAACATTTTACCCCTTTGAATTGCCAGTATTTTGCACATACCACCTTCTTCTGATCTCAGGACTAAGAAGTTTCAGTTTGTTTCCAAACTGAGACCCCTCGTTGGCAATGTGTTGTAATGCATGGAATTTATTTTACCGGCCTGACCTTATTCTTGACCTTTTTTCCCCTCTTGTCTTCTGCAAATGCAAATGATGCATGAATTGAAATCCCCTTAAGCCTGAACAGGGGAGATAATTCTAAAATCAAGGAAGGAATTGGAACAGCAGAGCATATCTAGAACGTCTGATACAATGCCTTTTTTATTTTTCAGTCAGTTTGCTCCCAGGAAAACCTTTTTGTGGAAAACAGGTAAAAAATAGCTTTTTTTTTTTTTTTTTTTGGTGTTAAACTTAGCTGTTTCTCTCTCATTACTTTGTCTATCTATAGTTCTATAGTTGTTTATCCTAATGCGGAGGCTGTTGAGCAAATTTGCAATCCATATTATCTGCAGTGTTTTTCTGCTTTAAGGGGGGGGGAAGAGATTGCCTTGCAGTATTGTATCTGAGCAGATAAGGTGTTACTGCTGCTTTCCCAAGACTTTGCTTTTCAGTTTAAAAAGCAGACTGCGGTGTAGGGGGGAACCCACCTAATGTTTCATTTCAAATGCTCAACCTGTCTCTGGAGTGCCTTTAGAATTTAACTTACTGATCTTTAAAAAGCACTCCAGCAGTGGCTGGATGACGGTATTTATGAAACACCACATTTGTGTTCCTGTTGTTTAACCTGGTCTCCTGTGGGGCTGAGCAGCAGCACTGGCTTCATGTGTTGCTTGTGAAGGCTCGCAAGTCCCCCCGACCAGACCTGCTTTACTGCTGCATTGTAGCAATGAAATGGTGGTATCTGAGCCAACTGTTACTTTGCTTTACTGTGTGATAGTTCTTACGGATGTTCGTTTTATCACACTAGACCCATTTAAAGCAAAGGGAAGAAGAAACTGTGCTTAAATAAGATCTACAAAATACGAAGTGTTAGCTTTGTAGCAGCCATAAATTAGCTTAGCTGCGTTGAAGATCTTAGAAATTATGCACCTTTATGGCAGATAAGGATTTTAACCAAAACGCTGAGACTTTCACTGGTGGGTGTTTGAGCAGTGCTAGCCTAAGTCTGTCCTGTGCAGGTTTTAAAACTGTTTATCATCCCCTTAAAGAAGGGGAGGTTGTCTTTCACAGTATTTCTATCTGTCCATCTTTACATCTGTCAGATGCATTTATGGGTAAGGCTGTTCCCATAAAAAATGACTCCACAGTAATGGTACAAACCAAACTGTCCAGCTTTTCCGATGGACGGTCCTGAAAGTGGAATGAGGGAAGTCCCTTAGGAGGTAACGGCCACTGTCACCTAACCACCTCGTATTCTGAGAGCCAAGGATATTTCCTCAGCTGCTCCTTCTGTATCATGACTGTGGAGATATGTTTTATCAAAATAAATAAAAAATGCAACAGAGGAACCCAAAAAGCAAACAGAAGGTGCTCCCATAAACTTACTTTTTACTCTCTGGAGAGAATGGGACAATAAACGTGACGTAGTTGTTCACGTTCCCAAGTCAGTATGGAAAGTGCTCAGACACTGCGCTGTTGAGGGTAGGGTGGGGACCTTTATGGGGTAACCCATGAACTTCATAGCCAGGCCTCCATTGGTTTATGCATTCAATCCCACACCTGCATGCAGAAGAACGTGGCCAGTTCTGGTGTTAGCACTTGGTTCGCTTTGCTCAAACCTGTGAGCTGGCTGACCAGCTTTCCCCGTGTGAGGATGCATACCCAAGTGGAGACCAGTAAAAGGCCAGGTTGGAAATTGGACATCTGTTACTGCCTGCACTGTTGTTGTCAGGAGGGAGACTTCAGCTGCATTCCTTAGAATACTGCTTTTTCTTGCTGCATGCCTTACAGCCTTTGATCAGGTGAAGCACTTAAACTCATACCTAGCTCCGTGCACATGAGCAACCTTGTTGATTTGCTGTGTTGAAACTTAGGTATGTGTTTAAGTGCTTTGCCTTTCTTGTTCATCAGAGAACCTGAGCATTTCTCCGAGCTGCAGAGATTTCCAAGCGACTTAGCAAGTGCTTAAAATTATATATGCAGTATTTTGCTGGCTTGCATTTTTTATGTTCTTATTAGGTGATATTTTTATGAATTTTCTTTTGGATCTAGATGTATGGTTCCTTGGCTTCTGAGAATTACCTTGCTCAGTAACAGGAGATGTTAAATGGCCTTCAGCCTCCCTGGCTGACATTTCTTATGTTCACTTGACTGTGCACAGTTATGGGAGAGGGAGGGGGGCAATTTTAGCCTTGTTTTTTTTTTTTTAAACTATGAATCTAGCGCAAGTTGGAAGATGTTGCTAGAAATTAAATACAGCTTTACAGATAAGATAAATTTGAATTACCATATCTGTTACCATAATCTTTCTTTTCATTTTTCAGTAGGCTGTTGGAAGACAGTAGCATATGCAATGATACCCATAAGAAAAGACAGCTGTTTAGGTTTGTATGACTTTATTTAATATTCATTTCCCAGTAACTCTCACTTGTGATTCTATCCGTGTCCTCGACGAGGGAGACCTTGACAGGTGTGGGTATGTCATTTTTCTGGTTGGAAAGGAGCATGGAGAACAGAGTTCTTACCCCGCTCATCCCACGCTTTCTGAATGGGGAGGTCACAACGGGACCCGACCCTTTCCTTTGGTTTTATGGATCACTGGCTCGGGAATGATAGCAGATTTTCAGCTGCCCAGCTGCTCAGACTGCCACAATTTGGGGGTGACTGTGACTGGTGGAAGTTCATTATGCTCTAGCATATACGATAGGCACGTTTCACAGGCTAGTGCCCAGACTGACCTTTTTTCCTTTCATTGGTTTATTAAAAGCTGAAGTAAAAGTACGATGAGGTGAAACTGATTGAAGTTCCCTTATCTAAAGCAGAAATGTTTCGAAACTTTTTCTCTGTGACCTCTGTCTTCCAAACTCCAATTCCTTCTGCCCAGAGAACATTCAGATGTATCCCGTATCTCAGATCGTGTCCCAAGCCACGGGGAAAATCAGTAGGAGTCAGTCCATATTTTCATGGAGAACTTACCAGTTGACACACTGGATCAATGGAAGACCCAACTTGGTGGTGACAGCATTCCTCTGAGAGACTTAGAAAGACTCTCTTCCCACACCGTGAGCTCCCACAGGTTCAGTTCAAATCAGAGTTGAGCATGCCAAGCTGCTTTTAAAGTCAGTTAGCTGCCACAAGTCTTAAGCAGAGTGGGCAGAAGTAATGGATGTTTTCAGAAGCATATCCTTCATCCAGTAAGGCACATGGATAGCTAGGCAGAAGTAGGGTGATCACTAGACGTCTGTATGCATTCGGGTTTGCATATGTAGCAGTGATGGTTTGTGTCACTTCAAACCTATATATTGTCTATATTACATAATTTTCCATTGTGAGGCTGAAAGGGTGTGGGATTATTTGATGTGTGGTTGCTGACCGTGCATGTCAGCACAGCAGCCACGGAGAAGAGAGTGAGACTGCACCAGATAAGGAGCAGTGCTGGAGCATCTGGAGCTGCGTCTCATGGCTACAGGCAGCAGGCAGAAAAACTTTTCCTTCATGCTTTGGGCTAGCCTTGATGATCTGAGAGTCTTGGATTGGGCATGCAGGAGTAAGGAGGCATCTTACACACAGAGACTCTTAATAACTAATATCTGTTTGAGTCTGGGGAACAAAAAGGAATTTTGTGTAACCCAAAACCACAGATAACTGGGATACAAAAGCATTCTGTTTCTCTCCTGCTTTTCCACTAGAATGTAAATATAAGAGAATTGTTAATTTCTAAGCACAAGAATGCAATAGAACTTGTAAATAATATACTTTATTTTTCTCTTTCCAATTAAACCATAAGGACAATTTTTTTTAAAACCTTTTTCCTTTTTTTATGTTGTTGCTTCTGTGCTGTTTCTCTTCATGCTTTCCCAGTGTCTGGGTCTAGCAAAGGTCAACAGGTAAATACTGCTGATCACATCTGTGAGAGGCTCTGATCACAGGCAAGGAACGCACCAGCCTGATCCCGTCTTTGACACGCTGCTCCTTCACGTCCCAAGTGGCACAGCTCAGCAGGTTCTCCAAATAAAAAGCAGGAGCCACGTTCGCAAGGAGAAAGGGGACCAAAAAAAATAGATAGATACAGTCCCATTCTTTTGATTTGTAGAAAGCGCTTTGAGCCTGCAAGGTATTATACTGTAAAATAAGACAGAGGGGTGGCAAATGTCTTCTAAAAGCCTTCCATAAGCTAGTGTTATTAGCATCACTTGGGATAATGGTCGTGGTGCACTAAGCTGTAGTAGGCATGCTGGTTTTGTCATTTCAACAGCACATTGTAAGCTGTTCACCATAAATAAGCCAAATTCTCCTCCAAATTCTCAGTTTACTGTGTTGTCACTCACGATACACTGGGTGCTCTGCAGCTGTCCAAGGACAGGCAGTCTTTACGCAGAGATGTTTGCAATTAGTGTATGCAGAGGGGAAAAAACAAACAAACCCCAACTGATGGGTCTCTAAGTGGAGCGTTAACACTGAAGAGATTGGGGTCACGCTAGGAGGACACGTGTTTAGGGGAAGGCTTTGGGTGACAGTGCAGAGCAGATGAGGAGGCAGACGAGTGGGCACAAGGTGCAATAGAAATAAGGAGGATGGATATGAAGGCACAGGTAGAAGGTGAAGTTAGTGAGAAAAACCTTACAGGTGATGGACAGCAAAGGGAGAAGTAGTGAGGGCTTTGCTGAGGGAGGAGACTGGTCAACAGGCAACAGAAATGCTACGGCAGTGCTGCATAATATTGCTGCGTCAGCCCCATCCGGTGAAGTGCTCTTAGGATATATGCGAAAGGGGAGCAGTGGTAAGTGCTGTGCATGTAAAGGGGTATAGCAGTGTTTACTTGCTGAAGGCAGATGAGTATTGGGGTCAAATCCCCTGTTTCAGGCATGCTTTCGTAAATGCAGAGTATTTCCTTTTTCTTTATTAGGCTCGCTGCACGGTGCCCAAAGATAGACTCTGCCCTGACCTGGTTTTGTTTGTGTATAAATCTTTGTTTCCTGATGTCCGTAGGGGTAACAGAGACAGCACGGGGAAGGCATCTGGCAGTCGGCAGAGCAGTACGGAGAACGAATTGAAGTGGACAGACCACCAGAGGCCATGGAGCAGCACAGACTCAGACAGCTCAAATCGAAATTTGAAGCCAGCCATAACAAAGACAGCCAGTTTTGGTGGGATAACCATGCTGACAAGAGGAGATAGCTCGTCAAGTAACAGAAGTACCGGCAAACTGTCTAAAACAGGTAGCTAGTACTGTATTGGGTTCACAGTACTTCTTGTTGTGCGGTGATAAATGACTGCAATGGTACTTGCCCGAGTATGGTATATCACAGAATGGTTTGGGTTGGAAGGGACCTTCAGAGATAATCTGCTATATGGTGAATTACAGCAACAGTTATATTTCCTGTGCACAGCAGATGTGTATGTCCATCTATGTATGCTAGTATCTGGGTACCTGAAATAGAGTTTTTAGGAATCAAGAAGAAAACCTGGTGCCTGAGGTTTGCAAATCGTAGGTGAGAGGCGCTTTTCCTGGAGTAGAATACATGCACGTCCTATTTGAACACTGTGCTTGTTGTAGCCTGAAAAGGTGGTAGTCCTTTCAGACAAAGCACAGATTTTACCTTTTTATTCATCTTACTTTTCTTGACTCGTGAAGAATTAAATGTCGTGTATCTGATGAGAAATCCAAGAACATTTTGTTGTCGTTGCTAAAATGCAGACCATCTGTATCTTGGAGTACAGCCTCTCCCTTGCTGCTGGCAGATGAGGCAGTGTGCTGTGGTGGAAGCAGTCAGAAGCGCTGGATTCGCAGAGGTCCCGCAGTCTCTCCATTTTCTTGTTTAGTTCCCCTTAAATGAAAGCATCATTTAGGGGGACTAGGAACCTGGTGAGAAATCTGCATTTATTTGCATTAACTTCACGGGTACATTAACACATGAGTGAGTCACATGGTCTGGATCTAAGTAATTTCAAGCCATGCCATTAAGCTACTCTATTATATTTTTGTGTAAAAGTGCATAATAAATAATGAGCCCATCAGATAATTCCATCAGTTTGGTTCATTTGATAAATATAGTACAGGACAAGTGGTAATCAATACTTAGCACTTAGTGCTTTTTCAGCTTGAGAGTTTTTTATGGATGGTACTTAATTTAAAACCAGTTTATCAAGCCTGGGTTGATCAGATTTCATTCTTAAACCCAAAATTGTATGGTAGTCTCTGTCGTGATTCAGGATGCTGGGGAATGGAGTTTTCAGAGTAAATTGAGAAAACTTTTGACTTTGTAACTATGTTCTGGACCTCTGGATCTTGAACGTAGTTAAAAATTTTGTTATGTTTCACAGCTGGAAAGGAACCTGGCTGGTTGGAAAGCCACTGTTTCAAACCCTGCTGGTTATAAAGCTGCTGGGAGCTTTTGGAATATCCTGCTTTTTTTTCTTAATGCTTCTATTTTATGTTTCTTTTGAGACCCTAGACAAATACTGGTTTTATTATCTTAAGATTCATAGAATATCTCAAGTTGGAAGGGAATCTTATCTTAGGAAGGGATCCTTATGGTTCTCCTTCACTTTTACTCCATCCTTATGTATGTAAAATTCTATGCAATTAAGATAGGAATTTGGCTTTGAAAATTAGAACAGTATAGTTATTTACCTCTGGCTTGTTCCTGAGCATGAGCATATGCAACATAGCAAAACCAGTGCATACGTAGTTTTGAAACTACACTCCTGTATTTTTTAGTTCTATAAAGGCTGAATAGGCTATACACTGGGGCCTGAAGTATGCAGTAGGCAACGTTTTTGCCTCCAGATTTCTTTGCCTCCTGCGAATCTTTCCATTGCATCAGAATTCAATTTGATATGTGTGAATTAGGGGGGAGGCACAGGTTCCTAGTATGCTTTTGTCATATCATTCACCTTCGGTAGAGTGAGTAAATGTGTTAAGTAGCCATTTAAGTGTTAAAATCAAGCATATTAAAGGGTGCACTTAGAAAATGTATTGAAGGAGAGATCTCTGAAGTATGCCAATACTTGTAAATACATCTGCACTCCGTATGCACCAAACCCAAAATTGCTTTCAAATGCAAGCTCTTATAAGATGTTTTTAAAACATCAGTGATATTAAAATTCCATGTTCTTTGCAGACCAATTACATATTCTAAGTGCTTGGACTTTTTTTTAAGCAAAGTGTTTAAATTTTAAAGCTGGTTGAGCACAGAAAGAGTGAAAAAGAAACAAAATAAAAGGAAGAGGTGGGGAAAAAGAACAAGGCTGCATGTCAAAACAAACTTACACCTTCAAAGCCAGGACACAAAGTCAAGCTGTCAGTCAGCCTGAGGAAAGTCAGAGGAAATAATATCTGAATCGCTATTTCTATCCTCCTCTCTAAAATGTTATTGAGTAGCGTTAAAGCAGAAAAGAATGACTGTTAAAATAATGGGGAAATATGCCTTGATAAAGTGTTCTCCCTTCACCAAAAAATGCTGAGTGCATTCATATAGCTGTCAGAGCCCCTACGTGCTATTTGCATATGTTTTCTAAGGTACATTAGGTACCGAGCAATGCTTCATTGTGCCTGTTTCGCATTTTATCTTCATCATTCTGTAATCCAGCAGCACTGGGTGTTCTGTAGCACAGTACACATTTAAGCTTGATCATGTTTTTATTTTGGGGGATTTTGTTTATTTTCTGTTGTCTTTACTACAGTGATTGAAATGGGATTGCAGAGGTGTAGCTACAAACATTAGGCACACTGCCCTGGTAGTGTGGGAGAGCCTGGTAGGCACCAATTCTGTCCCGGTTCTCCTCTGCAGAAAGTACTAGTTTGTTCTCTGAAGTACTTCATGATTCACAGTAATAAATTTAAAACATTTTTGCCTTGCATATAGCATGTATGAAATCAGTCTGAAGTCATTAGTTGGTCAAAATGTTCTTCATTGGCTAAATGATGGAAAATGTTTGTGACCATTTTAAATGTGAAAATTCTTCTACATATATGGCATTCATCCAGAAGCATTGTCAAACACGTTTCTTGAGCATGGAAAAACTAAGACTTCAAGTATTTTCACTGATGGCTCACAGCTGCATTTGGAAGTATGTATAGTGATGCAATATTAGCACTGTAGCCTTTCTGGATCATTTTTATTATTGTCACCAAAATTAAATGTTCTACTCTTAACTTCTGATAAATCAGTAATTAATGGTACATGGCAGACAACAGAAACTGAAGCACAGAAAGATGTTAGCCTCCCCTTAGGCAAAGACAGGTCATAGAACGTGCTGTTCTCTGCAGTAGAGTCCAGTAGTGTCAATTAGTCTTAGACTTTAATTGCATTCAGCTGCATGGGAATTAGAGCTTAGCAAAGGAATTATGTTACTTCATTCTTGCAAACTTCACAAAAGGGGCTGTTTGAAACCCATTACGTGGCTATCTTAGTGGTTCTGATGATTATTTTCATGCACCTGTTGATTGTTTAGCAAGCACTGTTCCACTGAAAAGCACAGATTGTATATTGCAAATAAAATTTTCTGCTCTGTTATTTTGAAGCTTAGTAGATATATAGCGATGTATTAAGTTATAATTCAGTATTGAGTAGGGAGTTAATAATTTAACAAATTGCAATCAGATTGCATTCCTACAACTTAGGACATCATACAAAACCTTGGTTAGTTTAGATTTCCAGTAATACAGTGGACTTTCCAGGATTGACTAAGCGTGTAGAGTGGTGAGTGAAATAGGTGTTCCTGTAGGTACCGAAGATGTACCTGTTCATTCTCTAATACATCCATAAAGAGAAAATCTAGCTCACAAACTCCCATGTTATTTTCAGTGACACATTACAACAGGTTTTAATACACATTATTAGGAGGGAAGACGTGTTTCACAGAAATGTCCTCCGTGTGCGTATCTACATAGCTATTTAAATAATTTTTGGAAGACTTAAAAGATGTAACTATTGCATCTTTAGCTTCTCTTAATGCATTTTCCATTCAGTGGAATGCACATCTGTTGGAGTGTATTTCTTTCCCCCCTATTTACGAAAAGCTGCCTGCACTGGGGTTATCAGCTGTGTTGATACAGATCTGTAGGGATTGTTAACTTCCTTGGCGGGGCTCCAAGTAATGGGAGCCACAGTCTAACCTCTCCTGTTAGGTGTTCATTGCTACTCCTGTTGGGCAAAGATGATTATACTGCAGGCATTTCAATACATTAACCTCTTTTTTTTGTGCTAAAGATTCCTGTAAATTATAATTTTGTCTCTGAGTTTTGGAACTGGATTTCTGCTTCTTTTTATTAATCAAGCATTAGCCTGATGGATCTTGTGAGTCCAAGAGAAACTGTAGGAATGTTGATATAGGCAATAAATTATGAGCCAACTGCTTCCAGTCATATGCTTCCCGCCAACTGACTGTGCTGAAACATCAATCTTTTTTTTTTTTTTTAGAAATGCAGCTTGCAGAGGAATAATCGTGTTCACATGAGCATGTACCATTATTATTAAAAAAACGTAAATGCATTCTAATATACTGAAATGCAAGTGACTTATAAAAGTAGCAAATAAATATTCCAAAGCCAAGAAACTTTATCCAAGACAAAAATACTTCCAGAGGTGATCAGCACTGTACTGCTCCTAAAAAATTGACCATCTGGAGCAAGAAGTAGGTAGATCTTGAGAGTCCAGTTGATAAGAAAGAAAAAAATTACCTCAGACCTGGAAGGTGGGATGAACAGAGATGTTCAAAGTCATCAGATACTGAATGCTGACACAAAGAAAATAGAGCAAGATGTGTTGCATTGCTCACTAGCACTCAGGATATTGGAAAATTAATGGTATCTCCATGCTCTCCCTCTGCAGACCCCCTAAGCTATTAAGACTTTGTGGTGATTTTTCTGTCTGTTTTTCTTGTACCACTCTTTGAACTGCTGTATCTCTCAGAATACTTTAAAAATATTGTAATGGAAAGTGATGAGAATATGAAGGTTGTTATTATGTCAACTGTGAAGCAGCACGAAAATTATAGAAGAATCTAGAAGAAGTAGCCATCATTACACACTGAAAAAAAAGAGGTTGGATTGTATAATGGGGGCAAAAATCTCATTTAGTCAAAGTTCCTTTCAGAAGTCTTTAGCAAGACATCTTTTAATGTGAATCTGAATAAAGTCAGATAGTTAATTTTTTTTCATTTGCTGCAGTACTGAATTCATTATGTGGTGATTTCTTATTCCAAATTTAGACACCGTGAAAACAGCTAATCAGAGCTACAAAGACAAGATTAATTGGTGTTAATTTCCAAACATTAGTGTTGGAATTTACTTGGCTTAATAAGTCTAGACTTAAAATGATAGGATATAAGTTGTAGTGATGGAAAAAAAAATAAAATAGATCATTCTTATACAGGATAAAGGGGGGGGGAATTGGTTAAGTATTAATTTCTGGGATTTTTTTTTTAAATATTCAGAAAATTGCTGAAATGGTTTTGTGTCTTATTTGTGTTCTTTCAAAATCACCAACTTGATCTACTGACATAGGAGAGCAGATCTCTGGTCTTTTAAGGCAGACATTTCAAATCTATCATCTTGGCCAATGTGTGGTGATAGCTCCAGAGGTTATTCCACTGCTTCTGCCTACCATTTGATGAGTACGTGTGAATTCATTGCTGTCCTTTTGGCTTTCAACATTCAGAAGCTGGTAAAGATCAATCCGTGATTCTTCCATAAAAACAGCTGAAAGGGGAAAAAGAAAAAACAATTGAATGTCAGAGCTGCAATCTTCATTTACGCTAATGGTGTTTCTTCAGAATAGCACAAAATGGGGAGAGAGAGATCTGAACTCAGGCTTGGTGCTACTTACGTGCTTAGAAATAATACTGGGGGGCTTATGAAATCTCATAATTGCTCCTGCATCTCCGTGTAGCTTTCTAACCCGTTGAATTCAAGAGGTGATGGAAAAGAGGAGAAAGTAAAGCAAGAACTCAGAGAAGCAAAGTGAAGTGCATGTAGAAGGGCCAGAGGAATGTAGGAAAGGACCCAGTAACTGCTGTAGAAAGAAAACGAAACTTATGTGGTTGCATTTACATTTGGGAGGAAGATGCCAAATACTGCTTGCAGCTTGATGAGGATGACCTCCAGGAATATCTCTGCAATTTGTAGAAACACTGAAATTTGAAATGATCCAATAAGTAAAACTACCTCTGCAGGAATAATCTTTCTAAATTTCCAACCTCAGTCTACAAGGAGGGAAAAAATATAGCAACTAATACAACTTTGAAGTGTATTTATAGAAATTCAAAATTTCTTCTGAAAACTCTATTACTTTCTTGATTAGATACTGGAGAAGCAGATTTAGGGTCCTGCTGATAGCAAATAGTGCACAGCTCATAAAGAGGATTGTCTCTGTAGTAGCTGCCATATAGATATGACATTTGAAGAAGATGGATAAAAATGTGTTTTACACAGCAATCTGCAGTAATCTGTGGAAAGACCCTCTATTTGTTAAGTAACAGGGTGCTGGTGTGATTTTTTCAGAGGAAACCTGTTTTGCTCTAGTTATGAGGAAATAAATGAATTCCAATATGGATTTGACTGAAAATGAATCCAAGGCTTTAAGCAGTCAACTGTAGGGTCCTCCTGTAGTATCCCAAATATGAAGGGATGTAATTGGCCCTGTAGGAAACAAGTTTGCTAAAACTAAGTCTGAGTTCTGTCTTTTCTTTTAGTCTACGCCTGCAGGAGGGCACTAAGGAGGCTAGTAATTAATGTAAGATGTGTAGACAGTGCACAGAAGTAAAATAAAATAAGTTGCAATTAAAATATACTTTACTTTTGGAAGGAAGCATCCATACAGACATTTGCTTTCACACCTCCCTTGTATTTGCTTTAACATCCTGCTTTAAGGAAGCCGTTCATCTGAGCCTTGCACTCTGAGAGATTGTTCTCATTTTTATGTGAAGCAAATTGAAATCTAATCAAGTAAAATCTCTGAAGTTTGGAAATTATATTTGGTTTGTAAAATAATGCGTCTCCCCATCCTTCCAGGCACAAATGTGTTTTAGCACATTTGATTTATCTTGATCGATCAATTTCAATAAGCTAGGTGCTGAAAAATCAAAGTGACAACAGTCTTAGGTAGTGTCTTAGGTAGCTTTAAGTTAATACACGTATGGCACAGCTACCTTGTTACTTGACTGACAATTCAGTTGCTGGTTTTGGTTGTTTTTTTTTTTTTTCTTACAGAAAATGTTTGGTGGTTTTTTTGAGTTGTTTTTTTCTTTCTCTTTTTCATTTACAAACCGTGTGTTTAGTTTTCATACCTTATGAACCAATACTTCGGCATTATAAATACATGCTGAACATTTTGTGCTCTGTTTGATAAAGCTATTTACTGGCTGGGGAGAAGCACGTGTTGTGGCAGGAAAGTGGTCTTTTGAATTGTAGAAATACCACTGGATACTGAGCTCAGAAGGGAGTGAAAACCCCACTCCTAATAGCTGGGCATGGACGTAGTGCTTGCCTTTGTAGTCTGTGAAAGCTGTGCTAGCGTATGCGCTGTGTCTGATGGGGACTGGGGTCCCTTGTAACCCCCCCGCTGTGGTTGTGTCTGTCCGTTAGGTTCAGAGTCTTCCAGCAGCGCTGGCTCCTCAGGATCCCTGTCACGAATACATCAGCCTCTCCAAAGTGCATCTCTTGTCCCCGGGGTGACGGCCAGCTCTTCAGGCAACGTGTCCTACCCTGAGAACGGGATGAGTGGCCAGGTGGCCCCCAGCAACACCAGCTATATCATTCTTCCACTTGAAGCTGCAGGGATACCGCCTGGCAGTATCCTTCTCAACCCGCACACAGGTCAGTACAATGCTCTCCTGCCTGGTACTGCCCTTCAGTGTTTACGATGTCATCTGGGGAATTGGCAAATTTCATGTTTCTAGAGATACTTCCCTTGAGGCACTTTATGAAGAAGCAAGCAGCAAATATATATAGAAATTACATTTGGCAGGTTGTTTTCGAATCTGCAGGCAAAGCTGGATTGACTTTCTGAGGCTGTTTGGCATAGCTGGTGGGAAGTGATGCAAAACACACTCATGCGGTCCCAGACAGGATATTCATCTTGTAAAGTCCTGGCACTCCCTGGCTGCAAATCCTCTGAGATCCCATTAGCTTCAGTAAGGACAAACGGTCTTCCACATCAAGCGTGCTGAGATACGGTGCAACTGAAATACGATTCTCAAAGTTTTAGAGATTGTGCTTGACAGCAGAAGAATTTCAAAAGGCTTAGAGGCTGCATTTGAATTAGCACTTCAGGGTTAATTTCCTTATGTGATTAGCAATTGTATTTAAATCAGAATTTTTGTGATAAGAGAAAAAGTCACATAATCTTCAATTTTGCATCGTGGCCCTGGTAGTTAGCAGCACTGCGGCACTTGAACGAGGCATTCGCGGTCACCCAAGCACTGTGGACACTTCAGAAACCACTCAGCTTGAACTTGAGTGCTTGCTGAAAGTTTAAGGCAATTTGTTACCTCCTTGGTCCAGATGAAGTCCAGATAATGTTACACTATTACTCTCCACAGTATTGTACTGACAGCATTAGAAAGGTTCAGGGAGGTTGAGACTGTGATGCTTCTTTAGTGATTTGGACTATTTCAGTGACCATAACTAGCTGTGCTGTCAACCTTAGCTGAGTTATGCTGGGTTTAAAATAACAAAGCCTACAGTGCAATGTATTTTCCATTATACTGGGAGCTGAGAGTTGAACTCCAAAATATTTTTCAAAGTCCTTAATAGAGCATTCAGGAGCTTTTTATTTGGGGATTTTTATTTATAACCAGTATTTTATGTATATTACACCCCTGTGTTCCAATATTTTGGTGCAAATGTGTAAAGCTTATTTGTGAGTCCACTGCTAAAAATACTTTTTTTTAGTCAGAATGCAGTCAACAAAAACTGAAAGTTGCAGCGTTTAAGAAAAACACAGCCTTGACCAACTGTTAAACCAAACTTTCCACAGACATTTAGAGATAGTAGTATCTGGGGCTGATCAATATATATCAGTGTATATAAAATCAGGGAGGAGTTTTTGTTTGTTTAGATTTAAATGTGCTAAGTTCTTTCCAGAGAGATGACTTAGAAAAGTACATGTTTGTGCAAGTTACTAAAGCCTTTACTACTTATGTGTACTTTTTTCCAAGCTATTACGTTATTGACATGAGAGCCTAATACTGTCAGCATAAATGGGGATTTTAGTCATTTCTTAAAATGACTCAGGGAAGAGGACAAAATGGGAGGTGGGCATAAGACAAACCCCGTCATTATTAATTTACTCATTTCTGTTGTTCTGGTTGTTGACAGTTCTGTCTGTAACACTGGAATTTCTTGGTCAATACAGAAGGCGGCATTTTGTGTGCTGTGTGGTCCACCCCCATACAAAACTCCGCAAGCCTAGGCAGAAGTCCATCCATAATTCAGGTGATAGGACTGAGAGAAACATGAAAGGAATCGCTGCTGCTTCGAGCCCGCTAACAGCTGAGAGGTTGTGCTCGTTCCTGGCCATGGCAAGGACAGAGGCTGCAGCTCACCACACTTGCAAGCCCGAAGAGCTGTTTAAGAGGAACATCTCCTACATCTGTTTTGTCAACTTAGCAATTTGCAGCAGCTAGCTCGTATTTTTTCCTGGTACCTAGAGAGTCTTTGTCTGCCACAGATATAATGCCTTTCAACACTGTCACTAGACCAGAGTACCTGTTCTTCCCTCCTAGCATGCCTCATTGTCTGCAGAGGCATAATCGAGAGCTCTATGTGTGTTAGCATGTTTAATATTCAGGGAGCAAGTGTTTTTGTGTACATATAACTTTGCATTTTTTTCGAACCGCATGTTTTGTTTCTGTAGCTCCCTTGTAAATACATACATAATAAAGAAAATGGAGGGAGCAGATTCTTCTAAAGACTGAAATTCTTGTCTCAGACGTATAGCTTCGTGCTGCTACCTGTACTGGAAGTCAGGCTATACTGTAGCGTCTACTGTGTTTTTAACGTGCAGCAAAATACATGCTGCAAATCTCCCACTCTGTGGGCTCAGAATCTTTGCATCTTATTAGGGTAACGTTACAAAAGAAGCTCCGTAGGGAGGAGACTTAGATTGCTGGATGCTGTGATCGGCTGTCAAAGTGATGGATGCTGTCAGAAACATAGATGAAGAGAAGACAGTTTAAAGAAAAGGGAAAAGGAGCTTTGTTTCCTGTAATGAATAGATTTTCTTTCCCTATGTAATACCATTCTTTAGCTCTTCCTTCTCCTCTTGCAGAGTGGCTACTTCCAATCTTTTTTTCTCTTTTGATCATAACACCGTGTCCTTTAAAGATCTTTGCTTCCTTTCACACTACATAGTAACTGACTGTGTAAGCCTCTAATGACATCCACAGATGCTGTCAGTATCTCCCTGCTCTGATTATACCTCTCAGCTCCTTCTCAGGTGTTGGCAGTCCACGCTTTCTTTTCCCCATCCAGTTTCCTTTGTTTCTTCTCCTTCCCCAGATAGAGAAGCTTCTTGCTTGCTTTGGGAAAGGACCATTTATGTGGCTATGCTGTTTTAGTCTCCATTTCACCCGCTTCACCAGTCTGTTTTACCCTTTAAAGGATTCCTCTTGACAAGTTCTCTGACTTAACCCCTTTGACAATTTAAGAGCATTTATGTTGCATTCTTACTCCTTTAAATGACATCGCAATTTTTGCCCTTCTACCAGGGCCATAGTTCATAACTTACAGATGTCTTCCCTGTTACCATCTGATCTCTGCTTTTCATTTCTTATTTCAAGATTTCTTCATGAAAGGTCTTTTTTTTTTTTTTTTTTTTTTAAAATTTTTAAAAGCTTTGGTGGCCTTTT